AGCACACATGAAGACATACATTTTAACAATTTAATACCAAATTCATGGCCTTCCAGCTCAATAAGGAATTCAACTTCACTCCCAACTTGACTCAGTCCGATACCAACTACAGCCGCACAAAGCCTCTTAACATAGGAGGTAGAAATGGCGACTCAATAACAGAGGGTGAACAGTTATATTCACCCAATCATTTGGGTTTGTTAAATACAATAAGTACACATGTTTAAAGGGTCTCGCTCAAACCCCGTGGAAACCAATGACATGGAAGGAAGAACAACTAGGATGTCACACATAGAGAGAATTGAGCCCGAGCACTGGAGGGGGTGATATTGACACAGCAAAGTAAACAGGTGCAATACTAACAGACCGCAATGACAGTCGGGCTCAGACGGACAAGCAGACAAGCAGCAGGGGATATGCTTTTACAACACTGCCCCCCTCTGGTGATCAATATAACTGCAGCCCAACACATTTTCACTCTGGACATTTTGCACCACCTGAACATCAAAGGGTTTTGCTCAAAGGATCCGTGAGCCCTTTCATACCGATTATTCTTATGATATAACCAATCCCTGTAAAAGTCTTAGGGGAAAGTCTAGCTTTTGATTCCATGCTGTCAGGAGCAGATGTACATGTCCATCATACTCCCATTCGGAAAAAGAATTTGCATCTGGAAAAAACATTAAAAACTGTGCACGCATGGGAGTGCGTGCACGGTATGCATGATTTGGTCCGAAAATTAGCGATCTGAAAAAGAGCCTGTGTCTTGAGCAGGGTTGTTTTTGTAAAATGGCACCTCAGTGGAAGAGGCACACTATGGATGAGATTAAGTGAAGCCTTCTGCGGTGTAAAGGGGTCACTTTCAACATTAAGCTCTGAACATAATCTCTTCCTCCCCCATTTTTGCTCGAGGAACTCATCATGGAGTGTGAGTGCCCTCACTCAGAGAGAAATACAGGTGATGGCAGATAGCAATGTCATAAATCAAGAAGGGTCTCACTTTTGTGCTATTCTCTATTTTTTCCGCTCCCTATCTCTGCTCCCTCTGTCGTGCCTCCTTCATAGATGTATGCCATCTCATTTCCCGTCAATAACCTGGTAATGGGCTCCGGCAGTCAGATAACATGGCCGGCTGAAGAACAGTGGAAAGATAAGGACAAGTTTCTGCCTTTACGAACCTGAGAGACAGACAGAGAGCCTTTGATGAGCGGGAAGCCGGTGATGGAAAGGGGGTGAGCGGTGTAGAAAATGAAGGGTCATAATGTCAGATCTGACTTGAGTGCAGCTAGTTTCTCTTAATGGCATACATCCACTATGGTCATCATTACAGAGCAGCCAGAAAGAGTTGATGAGGAAGACAAAGAGGAATCTTTTTTGTTTCCTTCTGATCCCTCTTGATGAGGCAGGTGTTACCATCTGCTGTCTTATGAAAGTATTTTTCTAGTGCGTTCACAGGTTCGTATACTGTGCTGATTCATGGTTTCATGCACCAGGAGCGATACGAGGTTAGGCACGGGTCAGCTCGTTGCAAGCTGCGCGTCGTCTCAATGACAGAGCCCCCCCCCCCCCACCCCCTGTGCCTCCTGACATCACCGCTGCCACGCCACCGAGGCAACACCCTGGAGGTGGGTGTCTCCCTGTGTCAGCTGCCGTTGTGTTGCTTCCTCAGCGAGTCAGCGGCCGTGATGCCTTCCAAGCACAGATCAGCATCCGTTCAACCCGTTCATCACAGCCCACTAGGCACACAACAGACCCACATATGGCTCCAGGCCCCCCTCTTCCCCTCCGGAACTGCAATCTCGGCATATTAACCGTATCAATGTTTTAACGATCCCACAAGGCGGAATTTTTAGGACTTGTTGAAATAATCATGAGGCGCTTGTTGGGTAAATGCACTCAGTTTCAATGGGCACACTGTGAGAAAGGCAGAGCTGGGAACCGGTGAGACAGAGCCGAGCCAACGGAGACTGGTCATTATGTATTCATTGCGGCGAAACCAATCTTTGTTGAGCCTGTCCTCGATTGTTTTTAAAAGGATACTTCACTGGACGCAATCAAATTAGCCAGAACATCACAGATATGGGGTAATAACCCTAAATTGAATTTCTGCACACGCTAAAGTGTCCCCTCTCTGCAGAATCAATTGCTGTGAAGAGAAAAGGAGGACAGGAAGAGGGCATTCATAGTTAGCAGACCTTTAAAAAGTACACCAGAGATGCAGGCATGAGCGGGCTATTTTCACGCTCCGGAGCCCTGCCATAATGTGTGCCTGCTGACTACTATGCTAGATGCAATCTATCCAATTATGCTAATTAATTTGAATTACCTTACAGCTCCCATCACTGGGAGGGAAATTGGGTCAGCTTTCCATTGCTGCAGTTGCATGAATATAATTCTCCTCCATTGTTTGGGTGCTAAGAGCCGCACACGGCGAGCTCTGGCAGCCTAGCAGCTGCGCTAACTGAACAGAGACTGACAACAACAAGCAATTAGCTCGACAGCCTCCTGTTAGCTCTGCCACTGGCTGACACTGCTGTGTGCTGTGCTGGAGTGAGCCAAGGATGCTACTGTACTCGGCTACTGTTCAGTCATTACTGTACATATGCAATGACATTTCACACATTTTGCTGACCTTTTGTAACCACTTTGGGTTATAATGAGCACGGTAAAAATGAACCTAAGCCATTGTAAGCAACCAGCGGTGTCAAGGGTCAAAGCCAGACTGGGCCGGAGACGCACACTTTTTCTTGCTTTCGGCATCTTCAATAGTGCATTTCAGCACAAACGCAACAACCCCTTACAGACAAGCCTCCTGCCTGCCGCAGTGACACAACAGCTGTGCAGCGCTGTATGAGCAACATCAGAGAGAGGTTTCCCAGAGAGTGATCCATCATCTGACTACTGAGTCAGGATACAGCTGGGAGCTACAGAGGCAACGTTGCTGCGTCGGGGATGACAGTGTTGTCGTGCGCTGTCCTTGTGTTTGTCTTCCACAAATACTGTTGTCATGATAGGAAGTGCGTTGCCAGAGACCACAAAGTGTAATCGGGTCTACTGATATGGGCACTTACAGGAGTTATCGAGCAATGACACGGCTGAACACAGGGAAGATTACAGCCAGTAATCCCAGGGAGGGACCTGGGAGACCCTGAATCATATCGACACAGACAAGCGCGCACACACACACACACACACACACACACACACACACACACACACACACACACACACACACACACACACACACACACACACACACACACACACAGCTGCTCATATAATGACACAAGTCTGTAGGGTTTCTGTTTGGGTGGCCAACAGCAGCAAAACGTGGCTGTTTATAAATCAAAGGCAACCAAATTGACCTTTAATTAGTTACCCAGATAATTACTGTTGTCATAAACAGATAAAAAAATAAGACTGCATTCATTTGTCTCCCCACAAGTGTATCAAGTTCGTGGCACTGCACTCCAAATATTAATTAACTCAGAATGAAAAACGAAGAGGGATTGTTTTTGTCTGTATCGCTCCGAAATGCGACTGAAACTCTTCGAAGCTGGCGGCACAGTTGAAGTTACAAATATTACACTAAGTCCTATAAGCTCCAATAAGCAAGTGGTGTTTTTTGTGTCATCATACAATGTCACACATGTGCAGACCATAGCATGAAACTATAGACTCCAGCTAATTCACTCAGTGCTCCAGTTAGCAGAGAGAAACTGAATCATCGTGTGAGCTACAATAGCCCATTACCCGCGAGTTAAAGAGCTCCATCAGTCCCCGACACCTCCTCCTCCTCCTCCTCCTCTTCTTCCCTCCCGGTGAGGGGAGCGAGTTTGCGGACGCCACACAGCCAGTAATGAGCAGGCCGCCGGCCCATTTGTGCTGGGAGAGAATAGGTCCCTAATGAACCACCGGAGACACTTATGTCCACTGAGTCAAGATTGAAATGTGCCACTGATGGCTGATAGGAGGTTGTGTCAGCTCAACCAGAGAGCAGAAAAGGCAAAAAATAGCTCTTTTTAAATGATGGTGTTTTGGACGATAAAAGTTCTTTGTGAACTTTGTGGGTGGTATGTAGTTTCTAGTATACAGAGTCCAGTTTGGGCATGTAGAAAAAAACAAACATTTAGAGCTAACTTCCTCCTTCTTCTTTAGGCTACTCATTAATATAAAGGAATAGCATTTGCTATAATATTTTAGTTTACATGATGTGTCAGCCACACACCAACTGGGAAAAGGTTGGTGTTAAAATATATGCACTGTCGATCCCTCTTTTGACATTCCCAATTCCCCTTCTTTTATTCACCGCGTCTTGAGACGTTATCAGGCCCGCACAGGCTATTTGTCTCTTTTTTACGATGACTCAAGTTTTTCTTCGAGCACTATTTTCTACTGAAGTAAAACTTTTGAGTGCATGAGTTATGAATCCTCAGTTGCTACATCAACCACCACCCTGCTTCCCGGTGTTATAAATATAAGAGGATGACTTCCCCACCGCACTCCCTGAGTCACAGCAGGAAAAACTGCACTTTTAGCACTTTTCATCGAGGGCCTCACCCTAGCCCAAAGATCTATTCCTCACCCGTCTGGAAAAGGGCAAATCTATTCTGTTTTACACGCTGAATTATCACAAAAATATATAAAACACACACACAGTTGTAACCCTGTAAAAACTCAACTTAAAAATGAAAAATACGTCTTTTTTACTCCCTGAGGCAGTGCGTCTATACATAAATAAGACAATGTTCATTGTCAACTTGTCTGGATGGTTTTAGAGTTTAAACAAGGAAAGGTTTATAACTTTTAAAGTATTGGCACATTATTTTTGGGAGTAGCCTCATTTGAGCTGTTGCTTTGCTCAGTGAAGCCTTTGAAGGGGGGGGGAAGGGGGGGGGAGACTAATATGCCCTGCAGGGCATGTTGTTTAACAGGCACTGGCATTTCCCAGCGCGGTGAGTCTGATCTAATGGCAGGGCAGAGGCAGGGGAGACACCCACCCATAGCTTGGATGGCCAGCATTGCGGGAAGCAGGAGGGACAGCATGCTCTTCCAGGGTGGATTGGAACCGCAGGTCAACTTCTTCAGACACAGCGCTGCAGGGGAGAAACACAGACGTCTGAGGAGGTGGAAGATTGTAATAACATGGAACACAACAGCACTACAATATAAGACTAGAAGTGGACAGAAGGCTGATTAAGGAGTGAGACATAAAAGAGTTTTATGTCTTTGTCTCAGCTTGCTTTGTCTCTCAAGAGGGTGGAGTTTGAGATAAACATTTTTTATGAAGTCGAGTCTATTTGACAGTATAGATTTATTATTATTTCTTTTTCTTTAGATTAACAAATGTATCTGAATTAGATCATTTCGGTCTTTTCTCTGGCCCGCTCAAAGCGTTTCTCTTCCAGCAGGAGTGGAGCTGTGATGACAAATGGGGACTTCCAAAGTCGACAGGAAACAGCTGAGCCAAGTCATCCTCTCTGCTTTCTAAAGGGGAAAACACTACTTCAAGAGTGAGCAGAGGCAGACAAGACTATCCTCTCCCCGTCTACGTCCACTCTACCTCACATGAAATACTGATGAGGTATCATTTTCAGAGAGATTGGTAGAGGTCACTATTTGTTTCTTTATTTGTCTCAGACAAAAACTACTTGTATTTGTATTTTAAATAAAACTGGAGGTACGTTTTTAATCTAGAAAGATTCTACTGCCATTTGGGTCACTGGATATCTTCTCCAGGTAACTTTATTGTGTTATAATGTGCGAGACATATATTAAAGCAGAGAAGATTGTGAGCAATAATCTACCATCTAGTGTGACGACATTTCTTAGCACAAGAGCACCTGGTTCTGCTTCCTTCCTGTTTCTTTACACTCATTTCCTTGTGGTCAGTTATTCACGTCATGTATCCCGATGGCAAATGTGTTGGTTTATAGAGAAACTAGTCAATCTTGGGGAAAGGTTACGTGGACTACGTGTTGCTTTCAGCCCATTGATCTCAGCGTCCAGCGTCACAGGGTCAGATTGGGTGTGTACGTAGATACCGGGTGCTTTACTCTCAGCAGCAGTGTCTTTTTTGAAACTACCACTTGGAGTCACTAAATTACAAACCCTATACAAATGGGGAAAGTTATGTAAAGCTCAACATACAGTATCTTTAAGGCTGGCATTCAAGATGGATGAACAGCACACATCCGAAAATGCAACAGCTACTCATATTGCGGATTGGTATAAGACGGCCTAGTGGTTGGTCAGCGTTACGTTGAGGAGTGACTTGTGAACCACACATACTGTCATAAATATGAAAATATGATCTACTCGTTATAAAGAAATGAAAGTAGCAGCCATCTAGAGAATTCAGCATTTCTATTTTGATGTGTAAAAATGTTTTATATCTAAAGAAGTGTTTTTAGAAGTTTAGTCATGTAGTTTGGCATTATAATGTTCCATTTGTATCCATTTAAACTCTGTGATCACACAATGCTGTCACTTACATAGACACACAAACATATATATATATATATACAGTATATACTGTATTATTGAGCAGCTAAATGTCTCACAAATCTACAACTAAAAGTTCAGGTAACTTTGTTTTTATACATTTTGGACAAATAGAAATACGTTAAAAATTGTGGAAAGCTGCTTTCAGATCAGTTGGGGGGTTTTATTACTATATAAATGATCATATTCGATGTCAGCTGTAGCTCCACCTCCGGCTGAACTAAAACCTTTTCCATTTATGGCTTCAGCAGAGAGGATGTGGGCAGCAGTGCAGCTTCATCACTAAGTTTCCATAAAAGAACACTCACCATTCTCTCTCTGGACTCTCGGAAGGCATACGCTTGCCGGAGACCAACTCAACAGAGACGCTTGTAACACTATCTGAATCTCCCAAGATATTTACCCTCAGAGGCAGAAGAATATGGGTCGTTCACTGCACAGGCATTCAAAGATGCGCATAAATATTCAGTGAAGAAAAGGCCAGAAGGGGCAAGATTACTGTAAATACATCTGTTCAGTGTCCTATGAACTGAAACGTGCCAACTCACCAAACCACAGTCTGACTGTGCCTGTGTTGTCCAGACACCAGGAAGCCATCAAAGAGTATTTTACTGAATGACTCAAGTGCTTTACCGACCCCGTGCCAGCAAGTAAACGCTGTATTCTTCCTTTCATTTTATCGATTCAACTTTAACGACTCACTTCAATGTCAGAGATCAGAAGAAGCTGACCGCACTTAAACCGCAAACTCAAAAATATAATGACACAATTAAAATGTAAGTTTATGGTCACTGAAAGTTGTACTTTTAAAAAGCTATGTTATCCATCACTATATCACACCAACATATCAAAACCACTGCTGGTTCTTTATTCAGATTTCAATACCTGTTCAGTAAATGAACTAATAACGGTGCTCCTTAAGTTGAAGACAATTAAAATGGAAATAGAAATGGTCACCAAGAGACCGTTTAAAACAGTCTGAACGTCTTGAAGATCCTTTAGTGATCGGTCGGCAGCTTTTGGGCCATAATCAGCAGTGTATTTCATTTTGACGCTGCGCTAAGGATTATTAAGCTTCTTACTGAGGTCAAAGGAAAGAGAAATGACTGTGAAGTATCACAGAACATTAAGATTTACTATTTCGCCACAGTCGCTGCACCATTGCAGTATACTTTGGAGAAATCTGACAGTTTAGTTTGTCTCTTTACTGACGCTATACTGTTCTTGAGTCCACTTCTTCTCTTCGACGAAAAAGGCCGTTCTTAAACACCATTAATATAATGAATCTGACTGACCTTCTGCTCAAATGTCTCATTGGCATATGGCTGGCACCATTGCCGAGCTTCTCAAACCATTGGGAACCATTCAACCCTCGGCTATAGGGACATTCCCAGCCTGGAAGACACCGGTTCCATAAAAAGGGCCGCATCACGGGATGAGAGTGAGCCTTTCAAAATCCATATGGCAGCGGTGGGGAGAATTTAGCAAGCCCTCGGGTGACTGAATTCACTGCATGGTGGGAAATGTTCCCCCATAGCAGTCAAGTCAATTAGTCAAATTATACATTTAGCTTGTCAAACTAAAGAAAGTAGAGCTCCATAAACTTCCAAGAAAGCTTTATGGGTCAGATGTTGTCTGAAAGTTTTACTTGACAACTTTCTTTTTAACGACTGACACTCAAATGTACCATTCACACTAGGCCATGCATCATATCATACAGCAATCCAATAATAAACGAGAACGCAGTATATTAGACTGTCTACTTTTATCTCACTGATAACAACTGGGCCTACGTGTCTTCTGAACACCAGAGAAGTGTGTAGGATCAGTATGCAGTGGGACGGATACTCCAACATCCTACTTTTGTAAAGCCACAGGAGCCAATTTAGAGTAACCTTTACCTTATGGCAACTTGACATATATGTGTAATAATATGGAGATTAAATAATACTATGAACTGTCAAACTGCAATCACATCCCTGGCATTGTGTACAGTGTCAAATAACATCATTATCTCTCCACTATGTCAGGAATCATTTCCTACACAAGTCTGAACGGTAAATACAACATCCTCACATATTCCACAGGAAGCTTTACCTGCCAGCAGACCACAGCTGCACTATCATGTGATAAGGGCAGCATGAGGCCAGGCACTGGCCTCACTGCATCTCCTATTATAATGGTTCCCAACCTTTTCTGTTTGTGATAGGTCAGGAATAAATAACCATAGTTCAGTGTAGCAGGAATATCTATTTTATACGTCAGCTAAACTTCTCTATTGTGTTAATTATTTATTGACCCTTATGATTTGTCTTGTGACCCCTTGTTGGGTCTTGAACCTCAAGTTGGGAACCACTGTCCCCTAGCTTATTCTGATACAGTTTATTTAATCCACAGAGAGAGAGAGGGGGGGGGAGGGAGGGAGAGAGAGGGGGGGAGATAGAGAGAGGGGGAGAGAGAGAGAGGAGGGGAGAAAGAAAGAGAGGGAAATAGAGAGAGAGAGAGAGAGAGAGAGAGAGAGAGAGAGAGAGAGAGAGAGAGAGAGAGGGGAGAAAGAGAGAAAGAGAGAAAGAGAGAGAGAGAGGATGGGAGAAAGAGAGAGAGCGATAGAGAGAGGGGGGAGAGAGAGAGAAAGAGAGAGAGAGAGGAGGGGAGAGAGAAATAACTTAATTTTTTATCTTTTTTTTTAGACCTGTATCTAATAACACACATGTTTGACTATCAAATAATAATAATAAAAATAAAATGGAGTGAGAGAACTTGCTACTGGTCTTCCCTTCAGGAGACCCAAATGATGCTACTTCCTGTTGATCATGTGACTTGTGTGATGTCCCACATTTTAAACCCCCCTGAGGACAATTAGTAAACCTGAGAACATGACTAAAATCTGTATTTTAACATATTATTATTATAAATGTCTGATGAGATCATGTATTTTATGTCTAAATTGCAAATATTGAGTCACACACACATTGGGGCTGAAATGCTACTTTTGCAGTGTTATAGGTTGTTTTTGAGGTTTTACATGATCAGCAATCAGGAGAAGGAGCAGGACACTTCACTTGATAATATAGTGTTTTGTACAGATGCGTCTCCTGCATATTTATGCGAATAATGTGCTGGCCCAAATGTAAACGTAGAACTGTTACTTGTGACCATCTTGAGTTATGGAAGTCCACGTTACACAGATTAAATTGCTGCAGTGTTTACTTTCTGTCAAACGGGGGCGCAGTCGACTTGACTCACAGATGTTCTCGCGCCATCTGTGAAACTGTATACCTACTGTGTAGCTTAGCAAAACTACAAACTAAATAGCATACATGACACAGAGCCAATGAATGGAGCCAACTATGCGGAACAGTCACCCTACACTGAGTTCACGGAAGTTCCTCTGCCAGCTGTTGAACGTCTTTGACAATAACGGAAGTTCAAAGTTATCCATTTAATTAGATATGACAACCTTTCTGTTAGCTCGTGCTCTGCTCTCTAACACATTGTTTACGGCTTACCATATTAGGAGGGCGAAACTTAGAAACCACCAAGCATCCAGCGGCGGTGACTCTTTCTTCTTCTGTTATTTTCCAGAGTAGTTCATTCCTCTCACAACAAAGCGCTGTAGAACTGCTGCCGATGGGCTCGTACTTTGTCTCGACGCTGGTTAAAGCTCTTGAATGTATGTTTTTCAGAGTGTGTGGGTATATGTTGCATTGATTTTGGGACGGTTCTCAGTCAGAAACCCCTCCTTGCTGCTTTGTCCAGCAGTGATGTCATACCGAGGGGAGAAAACCGACTCGAGAGCCCCGACCCCCGGGTTAACCATTTGTGAACACACCGATATCTACTTTGTTTTATTACCACATACAGTAGACTATACTGTATTACAAATGCGAGTTTTTTAATCACACTAAGCTTTTCTTTGTACAGCTGAAACTATTTTTCTTTGTATCTGTATACCTGATAAGTTGGATATTAACTTATCATATGGTCCTTGAACGTATCACTGCAACCGCAGCCAACGCAGTTTATGAAGCACACAGTTTTACCTGCCTACTTTTAGTTCGATTTACCTAAAATGTGACATGCTGACCATGAAATTACGTTTAACCAAGACGCGACAACTTAAGAAAGTATTGAATATGCAGCAGGAAAATAAATTGGGAACTTGGTGATATTTTACTCACTATTTGTTTTATTAAACAAAAGAGGTAACGTTAGACTACGGGCACAGTGAGTGTTTATAAAAGCCGGGGCAGTGATTTAAATTGGCTTAACAATGCTATTCTTGTCTAGACGAGTGTGTGTGCGCGAGAGAGAGGGAGAAATGGGAGAATTTAGGATTGCCAATGGTTAAAAATACAATGAAGGACAGGGATAAGTAAAAAAAACTCCTTGGTTTGGATCATGGATATTTAAAGAAAACGGTTTGGACCAGTGGACGTAAACGTAACGTACACCACGTGACTAAAACCAGGAAGTGATTCGAGTGTCAACATTACAATGGTGAGTGAGTGTGCTGTTCTTTTACAAAGACAGTGGTTGTCGTGGTGTTGATGTTTGACATGTCTTTTGATTGTATGAAGTGATTGTTCTTTAAGCAGGCACACTTTACGAATAGCTAACGTGTAATTTAGCGAATCGGCATGTTTGTTTTTTAGCTAAGCTAACCGGGGTTAGCTCTGCTAACGTCACTTTTCATGTCAAAACCCCCCCAAACAAACAAATGAGGGGATAATGCGTTTTGTCCTGAGTCCCTCCTCTAGAATAATCGTTGTGTTATTCGTCTCACGTTTTTTTTTTCTTAAGTATGAGCGAGGTACTGAATAAAGATATAAGCGTCATTATTTTATCTGACATAACTTCAAATGAAAGGACAGTGTAATTCTATAATACAATTTAGCTTTTCGCTGACTCAGTCTTACTCCAGTAATTACTGATCAAATCTGTACACCATGTTAAGGTTTTGTTCTGTTTGTGGAAAAAGGTGGAGATGACTTCTTCAGAGTGGCACCTGTCCTTGAAGCTGGTGAATCATCCCAAATCCACCTTCCACTTCCCGGACATGATGCCAGGGGATGTTCCCCCTGGAGGATACAGGATCGCTACTTTAAAACAACTCGTTGCAGCACAGATCCCAGACTCCATCCCAGATCCTGAACTAATGGGTGTGTTACAGCTGCAGATATTTGAACACAATAAATCAGCTGTTAACTAAATGTTTCAGCGTTTTAAAAATGTTCTATCTCTGTTCATGTCTCGTATCAGAGCTGGTCCACTGTGGGAGGAAGCTTAAGGATGACTTAACTCTGGATTCCTGTGGGATTCAATCGGGATCCACCTTACACATCCTCAAAAAGATTTGGCCAGAGCCAGTGAACAATTCAGGTACGTTTGTCATTTAAGTATTGGAATACATTTAGTTTAAGCTGAACTGTTAATGCAACTAAAAAGCTTGAATCTGAATGTATGTGTGTGTGTGTGCATTTCCTTTCTAGAGCCTGTAAACAGAGCAACTGCAGCCAGGGAGTTCAGGGTGTTTCATGCTGCTCTTCACTCTCTAAACTCTGCCTACAGAGACTCAGTGAGTAGAAAACACACACAGGGGCATGCATGCTGCCCCCCCCCCCCTTACAAAATGTGGTCCAACAAGTTTAAATTATGTCCCATTTGCTCTGCTTAGGTGCTTAATTTTAGAATATTATTTTAAGGTAGTAAATATAATGTGTATTCATATCTATCTTTATTTTTTCGGCAGCCTTTGGTTCAGACCTGACTTTACAATATTATCTGAAATGCACCCCAATTGACCTCTTGTGATCAGATTTAACCTCTCTTCTAATTGAATTATATACGTAGGAGAACGGGGACTGTTTATACATATTTGCACATTTGCAAGTAGCCATAAAGCTAAAGAAGAGGGTAGTCGTTTATATTGAGGTCATTCTTTCTTCAATCTAAAGTCTGAGTTATATGACGTTGGCAATAAACTGTCTCCAGTAGGGTCTGGTAGCTTTGTCATGCCTTTCACTCAGTTAAAAGTTCATTAATCGGTAAATAGGTTGTCCTTCACTGCCGAATGCATTTGTGTGTTTGCACTAAACACATTTTTGGACACACACCTGGAGACTATTGGGTGATTGGATTTTCCTCCACAGTCCGCTGGGTGCAGACACCTGTGCTCGCAGCCGTTTACCTCTGATTGGATCACCCTCGATGCATTTCAGCGTGCGTGAGAACAGGACCCTGGTTCTCCTCAACAGGAACAGGTTTAGCTGTTATAGACTGGCAGCTTTCCATGGCGCGAACCTACTCGGACACGGACAGATTTAGAATACCAAAAACGTGTGACCGAGGGATCGTTCAGATGAGAATGTGCATAAGCGTATACAGTATGAGCTACTCACTTGTATTGATATTGATCCAATATTGATTGTCAGCACCGCATGGGATCAGTTGTGAAACCTTTTAAATCACAAAACAGGACTCCATCAATGTTTCTACTTCCTGAATGATAGAGAAATGGTTCTAAAAACAATCTCTCGGGACTAACTGTCTTTCCCCACACGTAGGTATATAAAATGCTGACAAATAAAGAGTCTCTGGATCAGATCATCGTGGCTACACCAGGGCTCAGGTCAGACCCAGTCGCTCTAGGTAAGACCTGCTAAGTTTTCTCTTATGCCATCTCATTGTGCCATGCAAATATGCAAATGGTAACATTTCCCCTAACGCCCTTTTTCTGTGTTCAGGGGTGCTCCAAGACAAAGATCTCTTCGTGCAGTTCACAGACCCCAACATGCTGGATATGTGAGTGTGGCTCGTCTTTGTCATTGGATCTGATGCGACGCATAATCAGGGGGTACGGCGCAGACACGCGAGTGGAAGGTAATTCAAAATTCACATCCAAGCTCTTCTGTCTGTTTTGCAGATTGATCAGTTCCCACCCAGCCCTCGTCAACGCCATCATCCTGGTCCTGCACTCTGTGGCAGGCAGCATACCCGCCCAGTCCAGCGCCAGCTCTTCTCGCAATGTCTCTGCCAGTTCCTACAGTGATATGCCAGGTGAGGGAGCACGATCGCACTGTAAAAAAAACAGCTAAATCTATGACGAGCAAGAGAGGAATCTGGACAGCTACTTGCACTCCAGTGTCTTGTTTTCACTCTAAATGTTCTTTTTATCTGGCAGGAGGCTTCATGTTTGAGGGCATGTCTGATGATGAGGACGATTTCCAGTCCGTGAGTCACTCTGCTCGATACTCAACATCAGATATCGTGTACATGAGAACTGACGGTGCTCTAGGGGCTAATTCTGTGTGTCTAAATGTGTGTAACAGGGGAGCCCAGCAGGTCCCTCCAACAGAGCAGGAGGCTCAGCGGGAATCCGACCGGTGTCTCTGAGCCACAGCGGAGCGACAGGCCCTCGACCAATCACGCAAAGCGAGCTGGCGACGGCTTTGGCCCTCGCCAGCACTCCCGACAGCAGTGCGGTCACTCCTACAACTTCAAGCCAGGTGAGGTGTATTTACACTCGAAAAAAGTATGTATATTTTTCACTACTGTGTCGAATTTACTTATACAAATTTAGCACATTAAAGACATGTACATGTATTGAAAACAGGATCTCTGACACATATTTATCTTTTGTTTTTATTTTCTGTGTTTGATACAGGTGGACCCCTCCAGCGGCGTGGCTCCTATGCCAGCAGGGACCCCAGTCAGTAACGATCTCTTCAGCCAGGCTCTACAGCAAGCTCTGCAAGCCTCCAACATGTCTGCTCTACAGGTGAGGCTGCCAACTCCCAGACTAAACCCCACATATTCAATTCATTTAGGGAATACACTTTAAAATATCAAATCATATTTCAAATGGTAACTGGCCTGTTTGTCCTTGGGTATACACTGCAGCGGTAGATGATTTATGCAGAGCTAAAATGAGGCGGGGTGGAAAATGATTGGCGCTTTCGACTGATTGGTCTTTGGATAATATACTTATTCAGTGAATGTGTTTTTTGGTTTGCTAGGGCCGCTGGCAGTCCCAAATGCAGCAGCTCAGGGACATGGGGATCCAGGATGAGGATCTGATGCTGAGGGCGCTGCAGGCCACAGATGGGGACATCCAGGCTGCACTGGAGCTCATATTTGCTGGAGGCCCAGGACTCTGAGTTCATACCCCAACACAGACTACGGCCTTTATACAGCAGAGAGAGCAGGAAAAAGTTCAGCATCCTATTGCCCAGACATTAGAAATGATGGCTTTAGACATACAGTATACATGTTTTTTTTAATTATTACCCTGTTTATCCAATTTACATACAGTATCATATCTGAGCTCAATGTTCATGACAACTTTTTCTTGTTGAAAGGAAGTATAATAAATGTAATTATGCTTACCGCATCACCTCCTGAGCCTGTCTTCCTGTTTAATAGGGATTTATTTGAAACGTATTGCATTGGTCCAGTCGGTCTGAGTGCTCTATTCAACTGTGTAGAAATCCAGATGTGCTCTTTACTTGTTTGTTTACTTTTGAATTGCACAAACATATATTCAGAAGTACCGGGTTGCAGTATTAAAAATGTGTGCCTCTAAAAAAAACAACCATAGATGTAATTCATCTATTTGTACACTAGATGGCAATGCAGTACATTTCTATCCAGACATGACGATTATCATAAAGTCATCCTAGCAGACATTGTGCTTGTTTATTTGCTCTTTCCTCAATTTCCTAAATTTCAACTCGTGATCTCTGTTGAACAGTTTGTGATACATTTTTATTTGTAGCTGTCTTATACAAGAGGAAGTTGTGCAGTTAAGGTGAAAGCTTCATTAACATCCACTGAGGTGTTTCTGTGCTTGTCAGAGCATTGGTAACATTAGCAGAGCCCCCCCCCCTCCAGCCTTATTACAGAAGGCTACATTTGCTTTGTCTCGTTGTCGTCCCCCTCCCCCCCCCTCCCACGCTATCTACTGTTCTCCATCTACAGTAATTGCCCTGTTTAGTTTTATGACTGCATCTGTGAATGCGACAGCTCAATCAGCGGATTGCCCTTTCATGAGCACAGCACCCAAACAGCGCTTTGTGTCCGTCTGTCCCCATTACCGTTTTATATGCACGCACACCTGCGGGCAATTTCCACCTCCAACTGCCTCCAAGGGTCTTTTAAAAATAAAGCATTTCCACTGTGCTGAAGGTTTCAACAAAAACGGTCAATAAAAAAAAAAAACACGTCATTGCTTTTCTAGATAATTAAAAAAGGAGACAACTCGCCCAGATAAAATCCAACCATGCAGGAGTGATGTCGAGTCGTCTTCCCATTGATTTCCATTACTTGCTGTTCTGTACTTCTGTTGCTACTAAGCGGTGAAGTCAGATGTTGTGCGTGTTGCAGCATTTACAGGAGTGTTTTGTGTCCGTTTACTGTTATGCAGAGACTACCATCACGAGCCTCACAACGGCAGCTTTCAAGATATTCTAAACTGTGAACATTCATGTGAAGTTGTCATGGAAACACTCTGAGATGCCGTCACACATATGGGATAGAAAAGCTGGTATTGCAAACCATGTTCCGGTCCATTGTGTTGTCAAACAGAGAGTACTATTGACTATAGGTAATCTCTTCGGGCCTTGCCTGATATTAAATCCACCCTTTTGTTACGAGAGAACTGATATTGCTTTACACACTATATGAAGTATTGTTTGCACCTGTCGACTCTTTTAAAACCTCTTCATCAATGTAAGACCTGGCTATTCCAAAAACATCTAGAGTATATTCATTGCACTAAAATCACAGGAGTAACGACCAACTTTTAAGATCTTTGACGGAGCGGAAATAATGAAAAACATGCTATTTCTGTTTATTCCAAAGGTATATTCCCGTCAAAGCTGTGAAGAGTCACATTATTCCTCAAAGTTTGTGAGACGTTCTCTTTGTGTTATATCCATTTTGAAATGTTATCACAATGGCAATGTGGTGGACACCCACTTCTGAGCAGGAACAGGAGATGCCTTCTTAATGAATAAAGCCCGGAGCTTTGAAGCTGCCCAACTACTCTCACGGTGACCTGGGGGTTCACGTAATGAGCAAGGTTTTGCACCATGTCATTATAGGCAATATGTTAAGCCAATAGAAATCATCAATGGCAGACCTTTTGAAATGGTGTAAAAGCTCTAATCAAGCCCTCACAGACGGGCAGAACAATACCAACACTATTCTCTCCAGATGAAATCCTCCGATGTGCCAGAGGAGGAGGAGAGGATGGAGTTGGTACAATGGCCTCCATCCGCTTTTGTCTTTTTCAAAAGGAGGCAACTCATGTGTTATTAACATAAGGTCTGTTACCTGAGATTGCTTTCTACCTGGCATGACTGAGCAGAATATGAAATGAGCTTCTGGTGGACACGAGGCCATTTTATCCCCTCGGCGGCCATTCATTGCTTTCAAGCCATGCTTTTATTCTTCCTCTTCTTTTTGTCCACAAAGGCGTCTTTGATGCATTTCATCCCAGGTGCTTTAACCCTTGATTGGAGCTTCCCTGGAGGAGAACAGAGCTGCGGGAGAGGGAGAGGCAGAGATCATGAACAAACCACCGGGAGAAACTGAAAATAGCAACGTCACTCCTTGTTTCGTCTGAAGACGTGGATTTGATTAAGATGGGAGATATGAGGAAAATCAACTACTGAATCTAAAATGTCATTTTGAAATACTCAATAACTCAGTGCATAAGCATGTTGGTAGACAGTGCTGAGATTGAACGAGTTTATTCTCTTTTAGCATAACTTTTAATGTGGACATTTACAAGGCAATTTCCAAAGGAAAGCGGCCAAAAACAAGCAGAATGGTGCAATAACATCTATCGCTTCACTCATCATAAAAATGTTCATTATTGCACGCAGACAAATGCAGAAAACAGTTTCACTGTCAGCGCCACACAGACAGACTCCACACTGTCTGTCTCTCAGAAGTTAAACTTGAGGTGTGTGTGCGTTACAGATTCTGCCTACGACCAAGAAACTCGAGCGGTTGTGAATGTTCGTTTCTTTTCATCAGCTCGCTGCTCGTGCTCTTTCTGAATGCCTACCAGATGTTGTGGGGCCAGAATGTGCTGCATGTGTAAAAGCTGCTTTTGCTTTCCACAATGCAACAGTTCTGAAAGGGATTTTTTTAGGGTATGGGATTCGGGATCTCTCTGTTAAAATTCGCTTTAAACCGAACTAAACGCTGGACTCTGAGCAGTTTAATTTACACGTAGCAGTACCACCCCAGAGGGGGTGATACCTTGTAAGTATCATAGTGATGTGTCTGGCTGAAAAGTATCCACAATCACAGGAAAGAATGCAGTGCAAAAAGTATAGCTTGTGCAGGAGAAATTCAATAGAGGCAAACAATTAGGACAATCAACTAGATTGTTGTTGTCGTAGCAAAACGTCTATAAAACATGGATTTGGTATGTGATCTGGTATTCCCCTGTGTCTATGGAGCTTTGTAATTCAGCTATAATAGAGAGATTGTTTAGTTGGTACACTTCCAGTTAATTAATTCAAAATAACCGCTAGCATAACCGAGACGCTCTTTTTTTCAGTACTCAGCAGGTCATCCGAACATGCAAAAAAAATGGAAAATGTGTCTACAGGCAAGCGTAGAACATTAACATAGCCTGCATTCATAACAACGCTACCATAAACTTCTTTATTGGAAATAAACGGTAGGAAATATGGACGAGCAAGCTTCGGGACAGACGCACGTCAAGCAAACGCTTCTGGGATGAACAACCGAACGGAAAAGAAACAACATTACAGGTCTGTGCTGCAGAATGGATCAATAGAGGACAACAAGTGCTGGAGCACTGGCTTGATAATCGCTGCAGCTTTCTGTCCTTGACTCAAACAATGGTCGCTCTCCTACTGCTTCACAAAAGGCTTCACCATGGAAACTGGTGATGGTGAAGATACAGGGAGGGGCTTTTCCCTTGATAAAATAATGATGTGGTCGGAAAAAAAAGATCACTGAAACATGATATCACACATTAACTCATAAACCCAATTTTATTTATTTTGAACCTTGATGCCTCTATGTCCCCATACAATACATTCAGTATATACATTTGGCCATATGAGGGACTGTACACAGATATGTTATAGTAGTGCATACACACACGGCACGGAGATGTACACAAAAGGAAAGTCATACGTGCCACTTTACCACGGTAAAGTGATTCACAAGATACACACGGGGCAAGTCAATGGCTGATGTTGGTTGCTTCCACCAGTACACACACACACAGACAAACACTGCTTCACGCACACACACACGCGCGCGCGCACACACACACACACACACACACACACACACACACACACACACACACACACTTTAAGACACTTCTGAGGGAGGAGAAGGGCTCTTTCAGGCTTTCTTGATAGAAATACACTAATGTAAAGAGTGCGTCTGCTGATTGTAGCAAATCCCTCCCCCTGCCAGGACACCCTCCCCTCTGTCTCCCCCCTTTTTTCATTTTCCCTTTCTCCAAAGCTAAGGCCTCTCTCTAGGCAGTGCAGCTGTCAAACACAGACTCTTCCCTATAAGAGAGTAATACTCATCAGCAGCAGTAACTAAATAACGAGCCATACTGTCAACATTTGATCTCTTAAACAGGGAACATAAAGGATACATCACACTTATAGTTTATTTAATTTGCACTTCTTCTTAGGATATCTTCTCTCAAGGAAATACATAGGTCCACTTCAATAGCATACTGTTCCTTAATAAAGCTGCAGAGGTTGCATCATCACATGAACAGACACCCTCATTTGACTTGCTTATCTAACGCACCCAACAAAATAAACGTCTGTATACATCTAACTTTCTGCAAATTATTCTCATGAACTAATCAGGTCATTCTGCTGATAACATCTCTTCCTGGTGGACATTTTGTACCATCACATTTGTCATAAGCATTTGGTGGAGGCACACACTCCAATCATTTCCCCTTCAATGACTGCAGTTCATAGTTGCATAGCACACAGCGGAGATATAGTCAAAGCCAAAATGTCTTTGATTTTGTATATACAGCAGTCATGCTCGCTTAATCAGTCTCTAATTCTAAGGGTCAGTCATTTTCCACTTGGACCAAAGCTTCCCAAAAATCTCTACTTCTACTCGGATTTGCTCATTAAACCACAGAATTTGCAACTCATACGACTGACAAAGGTTTCATCTGATGAGTTTGTTACAAGCATTTAGGCACTCTCATTAGACTCTTCTTGCTGTAATTGGTCAGCGGTATTATATGCTGACATATTATTGGTTCTGTTACAATAAACTGCAGAGAGCCGGCCACAAAGACAACCGTGTCATTCGTAGGAGTTGCTGAAACAAAATGTGGCTAATGAGAAAATACAAGAAGAAATGAATATCGATGAATCATGGGGCTGAATTCTAGTGTCTTGAGGTCAGGGGAGAAGAAAAAAAAAAAAAAAGGTGCCGACAACCAAAGAGGTTCAAGCTAGGGCCGTCACCAGTTTGTACCAGCAGGGTAAAAATACACAATCTGTGCACACATTCTCATATGCGTACAGATCCCACACACATGTTGGGCGTGTTGGACACATGCATACTCACTCGCAGTCACACATGTATGCACATCTGGTAGTAAAGGGTAGATGATAGAGAGACGTGGAAGCATTACAGGTAGGTGTATTTCCGGTTCAAACAGGCTGCTATGTGATTGGTCCAGGGGGAGAATATGCACTCGCCGTGACTCGTGTCCCCTGAGTCGGGCCACCTAGGAAAACGTGCATTTTTTCGCACAACTTGAAACAGCAAAAAAAAAGCAAAGCACCACAGAAAAAGAGGCTGGAGTAGTCCCAGAAAACACGATCACATCGGCACGGAACAATGAGGGAGAGCGGGCCGACGGGACATCACAAAGGAGTAACACATCAGTGATAATTACCCCCAAATAAATTACAGTCACAGAACAATCGTTAAAAGCAGAACTGGAAATCAGTTGATCTAGCCAACTGATTTGACCCATGCATTATAAGGCATTAACCAAACGCTTGTTACCGACATCACACAGTATCATATTAGTGACTAAACATACAATTGCTGATCTGGAAAATCCGCTTGTTTTTTTCATTTAAAAAAAATCTTGGTTAATCTGTACTCAAAAAAAACAAAACATATTCCTAAAACTGATGATGTCATTTTAAGTGAATCGGGAATGTTGAAGGGAGGGCAGATAGAAGTCTGCAATCCCATTGTACCTATTGATCTGCAGATGGGCGAATGAAATTGATTTTCTGAGGTAGACAATGCAGGCATATTTCATTCTCCCGATGCAAAGCCGTTCTAAGGAGGGAGAGCGGGGGGCGGGGCTAATTTGGTCCATTTGGACAGGCTCTGGTCTCCAGCCTCGGCCAATTGTACTGTGTCAGATGGGTTGACCCATCCATCATGATCTCCTGCCTGTCTCACCACTATGGTACTTACACTGTCATTGGTGTGGTACACCAACTCAGTGATGGATAGCAGACAGCATGCACTATGACAAGATAGAGAGATCAGTCTGCAGTGCTCACAGACCTGCTATTTCCACGGCAGCTGGGGACTCCCCATTCATAGAAGGCCCGTTTATTCAATATCCTGACCACTGTATGGGGCCCATGTGGACAATATCCCTCAACATGCCTCATAAATGTCGCTTCCCTTACACGCCGCTTACAATCTTCAAGTCCCCTTACCAACAATTACAGTATCAACAGAGCCTAACCAAATGGGCAAAGTCAAACTAACTTGTTAATACAATTCTCATGAAGTGCACTCTTAGAAAAACATTGTTTTGATAAAAGGTACACCCCAGTGACACATGTTACAACGCTGTACCTTTCTGTTTCTTTGAGTGTTAAGTGCTAAGGGAAATCAGCTCAAGAATCAATGAAATGATGTTCATCAGATAGTCCGTGATGCAATGAAGTGGGTGTCTGTCATAAATAAAATAAGATTAAAACAATAAAGACTTCTGCAACATTGAGTCTGTATGTGTAAGATAGTATGCAGTGGGCCTTCAAGATAGGTCGGGAATCCGTCGGCCGGTGAGGTGAGTCGGGAGCAGCAGTTCTGGGACGCCGCTGTTCATCTTTCCCATGAGCCTACTGGGTTCTGTCCAGAGGGACAGGAAGCGTTGAGCCACAGGGTGGGCCCAGTGGGTGCTGCAGGGAACGACACCTGCAGGTGACCCGGAGCACTATAGTGTCCTGATGGCCACAGGGTAGAGCAGGGACATGTGTTCGGCACCCTTGATGGGCAATTTCCTGCTGGAGTAGAAATGGATGATCTCAGGCACGCTGTCAAAGGGGCAGCTGTTCTGGCCCAGGATGTACTTGTTCTCTTTTGTCCGCGACAGCTTCATGTGCATGAAGCCCTGGCTGCTCCTGGAGACAGAAGAACACAAAAGAGAGGGACGGACAAAACGTTATTAGTTCGATAAAAAACAAGACCAAGAGTCTGCATCATACAGTACACTGTTGACAGGACACCTTAAACAGCAAAGATGGTCAATTATTACTCTTTGTATTTGTAGTGAAGTGAAAACTATGCCATCTCATAATTGCTGAGATAATTTAGTCTCTAGACCAAAGTAGTGGACCAACCCACTATCACTGAGCCGAGAGCCATGACGGCTAAAAGCAAGGCTGAAAAAAACCTATTTAAAGAGAAAAGTGTGTCAGAAGCCTGCTATGTGGAACTCGACAGATCGCCCCTCCTCGGCAGCGACTTTCTCATTTACTCCCACAGTATAGTTGCTCCCTACAGTAGGTGACGATGTCCTGAAAGCTGGATTACCTCTGATAACTCTGGGGCCGTCTGGGGAGGAGACTAAAAGGCAGGTTGCTTAAAGTGCTGAGTTTCACATGCAGAGCACAAGGATGAGGCCAATGGACCCTCGGGATAAATCACTCAAGCTACAGCAATAAAGGCACGGCAAATTAAAAGCTCCCTGTGCGTTTCTAGGCCCCTTCAATCAATCCATTTTACGGCTTGCCAGTAATCTTCTGCTTTAAAATAGAAAATGACTTTTTTTGGAGTTAAGCTATGCAACAGTAAGCTTCAGCATGGAACCGATACAAAACTAATGGTCCCCATATATCCTGCTGTAAATATACCGGTGTGATCATCTGTCGTCACAAAAAGACATTAGCATAATAGCTTCTTCAATCAACAGCTTCCAGCAAGTTATGATTGCTTTAGGCTCAAATACTATGCACTCACTTGCTGCAAGTGGGCATTATGGCCCATTATCAACATAATGTGTACCCGTTCTTTCCAGCTCACTAAACTCCCACCTATTCTACTTCATATCTGCTCCTTCCCTAATCTGAAATGTAACCCCCCGCTGCTGAAATGCAGAACAATGGCAGCCAGGAGGATAACAACAGACTCTCGCGAGGACTGTGCACATACAAGGTGTTAAGTAGAGATATTATTTATTCTACTATCAACACAACTAGGAAGTGGGAATATCCTTCTGACAAGCACGCATCTCTGTTTTGATAAGACAGGGCGGTCAAGAGTGTTGAGGAAGTTTACAACCTTTATCACAAGCCAGGCTTCTCTTTTCCACATTTATTTTGTTTCTGCTCTTATTACTGATGGGTTCATGGATAGTCGGTCAGACAAACCAAACGACTGATATATATATAAAAAAAAGCCATATTTTCTTGAGGTCGTTGAATATATTCCCAGTGTAAATACATACTTATTAAGTGTGATTTACATGAGCAAGAATTAGGCTTTAAGCACCTCCGACGTAAGAGGCGAGTCTATTCTCTACTTATCTTGTAATTGCATGTGTAAAGCCTGCGGATGTGTTCTCTCCGTGATGCAGAGAGAGAAACCGGGAGAGATATAACACTGAAAACAGCCAAGGACGTACAGGGTTCAAGAGAGAGAACACATGTAAACCGATAAACGGAGATTCCTTCCTGTGAGGTTATGTCAACAGATGAGACCAATCCTTTTTCTAGCATTAGTGCGATTACTATTTACTATTACAGAAAAAGAGATCTATGAGGTTTTGGAATCCTATATGGCAAATGATGCAGAATATTTCACAGAACTGCTCATATCATGTTTTACAGGTGAGCTGAGGCAGAAAGCTGCAGGCTTGCTGGGCTGTAAAACTGAAGTAAACACAGCTATCAGACTTCTCTGTAAACCTCCGTTGCTTCTGGCTTCCATATTTATTCATGTCATTAACAAGTTCATCATGATTTGAGGAGAGCAGCCACAGGTCTCTACGGTTCGACCATTCTGTAAGTGGTGCCAGGAGAGTGAGAGAGAGAGAGAGAGAAAGAAAAAAGAAGAAATAATCTTCAAAAGTGCATTAGATGAGTCTTCATGTGGAGCGCTGGGAGACGGGCATTAGGTTACATGGAGCCACACTTAAAAGGGAAAACACATCAATAGCATCGTTTTTAGATTCCCAACTGATGCTAGTCGGTGCTCAGGGCTGCTCATCACGTTACAGTCCTAAACAGGACAACAAGGCAATATGGCCGAGCTGTTGATAACATGAATACGGGGGCTATTTTTGAGAAGACAGGCCCTTTTGTGGTGTTATCATGTTCCTGTGTTTGCAGGCTTCTGTTGTCTAATCGGGATTCATCTCAGTGGGGAGGTCTGCCGTCCTGTTTGTTGAGGTTTATGACTTTGATTTGAACCCTGTAGTCCTCAGAGCAGGAACACAGCCTGGCAACAATCACAGCTTATCTCCACCTTCAACATATTGGATTGCTTCCCTGGATGATGCTCGCAGTGTTATGAATCTGTGGCACCAGAAAAGGCAAAGTCATCCGCCAAAAGATAATGATCATGCGGCAGAAGCGATGACCCTTTTTAAGCATTACTGGGCATTAGATATCCTGTTCGCCTATTATTTCCTATGAGCCCAAATTCAATGAGTCTAGCTGGGAGGAGCCCAAGCATTCTGTCATACACAATTGATTGAAAAAGAGCAAATGGTTAGTGGTGTAAAGCAGGCGAAGAAGTTTAAGAAACAAAATCACAATCTGGTTGATGAAAAGCTTCAATTGGCTGTATAAGCTGCAAAAAGTCAGATTGAATATTTCTAGTCATTTGTCTTGTCTGTGCCACATAGAGGAAAATCTGTGAAAACAAAAGCAAGACGGGCCTTTGGGAAAGTATTTAAATGGCCGATGCAAAGACTTTTTGGTTGTTCTTTCAATTGGCAATTTAGTTTCCCTCCGTCTGTGTTGTGGCATCAAACTCTGTAAGATGGATTTTCTTCTTTCACTAACTTTCTCTTCTCTGCCAGCGGAAACATGCTGGGCAGAGCTCTCTCGCGAGGTGAGAAACAGGACGACACTGTGCTCTGACAGACTTGTGAAGGGTTTAATGTGTTTCAAACACCTAAAGGGTTTCTCTCCAGAGAGAGAGAGAGAGAGAGAGAGAGAGAGAGAGAGAAAAAGAGAGAAAAGGAGCGGTAAAGGGAGAGGGGCAGGTGAACAGAAAAAAGGGGGTCAGGAGGGCAAAACAGAGAGAAAATGCTTTCCGTCAGACCAGGGGACTCTTGGGGCTGGAGATCTCAGCGACGTCTGTCCTTATCAATAATGCAATACACATATGTGCCACCTCATGGCCTTATACATTTTTCAGCAACCTCAGACATGGAGGATCGTCACCTTGGGTTTCGAGATGGGCTTGTGTGAGCAGGCTGAACTCAGAGTACCCTCTGCCTGTGTGGTGGCACCTGTCATTCCTACCAATCAGCCCGCTGTTTTCTAGGCTTGATCTGATTGATGCCAAAGCCAGAAGATTTGACATTGTGTGACAGCCAGGAGCTGACTCACACAAATATACACATGGAAGTCTACACACACAGAAGCACGAAGCTTCAAGAAACAGTCTATGTTAATGTTTTTGACGACTTTCCTGCCAGCTATTCAGCGAGCAAATGCAGCAAAAGCAATCAAAAGCATCATGTCCCAAACTATATACATTTTCCCCTTGTGGCCCCTGGCATGAAAGTTTACACCACCCCAGCTTATCACTTTGACTTTTGCCCTAATCAGTGCCAGCCCTATCAACTGTGCGGGTTGCCTAAGGCATAAGCAAAGCAAAAGTGTCTGCTTAGGGCCACCAGGGCACCGCTGAATCCCATTCTGATTAGAGCTCCAAAAAGCTTTCAGGGTGTCCCTGAGGTCATCCACATGTGGAGAAGTGGTGAAGAGTATAGTCCAGACCAAACTACACTGCATGATTTCTCTTCTTCTGCTTCTCAGGGGGACAAACAACCATTATTAGCCTTTAGGTCAGAGAAGCATGGAAGTGGCAAGTATATGGCAAATAAATCAACAAGTAAAGCTTCCTCCTACCTCACCAACTGAGCCCATTAGTGAAACACTTTGCCTCCTCTATCATCTGCTCTAATAGTGCAGCTCATTATTGAGGGTCAGCTGCACAGCTGTGGGATGGGTATTGTTGTTACTACATGAGTGTTAAGTGAGACCATTACTGAAAAAGAAGGTTCATATAAAAAAATTCTGCATTTACATGAAATTTGGTGGACGGGTGGAACATGGGCAAACCCATGAGATCTTGGAGCAGATCCGCATCACAAGGCAGATACACATATTATTTCCAGCGCTTTCTGGTCTTCCTTCCTTTAAAACTTCCACTCAATACTTTCAAAGAATATAGCAATCAGAAATTGTATTTGGTGAGGTAAAGCCTCCAGCATTAGGTCATCTTTTACACCATATTAGAGAGATTGGGGGGATTCATACTTTCTAGTTTAACAAAAAAATATCTCACTCTCGGTTTATGCTCCAAAAGTGCAATTAGAAGTGCATTAGCAAAATCACTCTCAATATCAACGCCCCCCTATAGAAAAAACGTTTTGTTCTATCTACATGGAGGTACGTACGGGTCTAGTCCACCTATATGTCTGTTCATCCTTAGTCTGCTCCCCTCTCATCTTTGTGGGTATAACTGCCGTAAAACTAGTAATTATTGTTTGTGCTCAAATGACACCCTCTTACCGTCTGTCCCTGAGGCTCGCACTGAAATGGGCAAACAGGCTTTTATGTTCTCGGCCCCTGTAGCCAGAAACCGCATGCAGACAGATTTGCAACTAGATAGGCAGATCCCAATTAGAATATTCAAAAATGTAGTGGAGGGTTTGGAGGCTAATTCATTTTGAGTTTGTAATTGCTTCCTTAACAAGGTCTGTTTCCTCCTGTTTGTCTTCCTCGGCATATGATTCTGGATACTGTGTGTGTTTTGTGTTGTGTGTTCAGTGCACTGTACGCTTGTTTAATGTCTTTTAAATGTTTGCATGCGTCTTGTCTGAAACACTGTATTGTTGCATGTCTCTAGTTCAGCATTTAGGAGGCTTCGCTGTTAGTTTTTTTTCAATGAGTAAGTAAACAGATGATCAGCCTCCGAGACAGGAAGTTAGACAGTCAGCTTACAGTAGCATGACAATAATGGAGCAGTGGAAAGCATTATGTTTCCCTGCCAAGAAATATAAGCCTCCAGCAAGATGAGGCCTGCCGTAATAACGAAGGCTAATCAACGACTCTTAGCACATTATAGTTTCATCTCATCTAAAGGTCGTCATGGAGCCGTGGAGATTTCTCTAAATGTCAGACGGTTGAGCCTGCCTGGAAATGTAAGATTGACTTTACATAAAGTAAAGTGAAAAGACTATCTGTCACATACTAAAATATTAAAGCTGACGGCTAAAGCAAATGTATCAAAGTTGACTTTGGCATGTTTTCAGATGGCTACAAATTTGCGGTTATGATTCATGACACCTGGTACACAAAGAAAATCATTAAACCAAACCCGCCAAAGGCGCACATTCCCGTAAAAAGAATGGGATGTGACTTCACCACGGGCCTTCAAAACTAAAGCAACCTCTACCAAATGTCAGACCAGACTAAGCCAATCATAGCAGCTCCGTCAAACCCTCTGCTGGGTATGCGGCAGGGATCAGGGGGCGCTGATGAAGGGCAACGTTAACTGTGTTGTGGGCATGACATCAGCAAATCAAGGAGCCCACGGGGAGAGGTCAGAGGGGTTCCCGGGGGGAGGTGGAGGACAAGGGACGGGGAGGATGTAGGTGGGAGATAGAGGTCTGAAAGGTGAAATTGATTACCATATTAAAAAGGCCGAGTCAGCAGACTATTGGAGCGCAGGTGTAAAAGGAACCTTTGTGAGCAAGACGTTGGATTCGTCCACAATGGGTAGCGGTAAGCATGAGTAGCTGCTACACTTCTCTGGCTCTACGTGTCTCTGAAAAAAAACTTAACCTTTATTACAATCTAATCTTATCTCAGCACTGTTTGGAGAATGTTATTTAAAGAAAGAGAGTGTTGTCCTTACTTAAGGGAGAGGGAGTAGTCGTTCTTGCTGGTCTCGCTGTTTCTCACCAGGTAGCTGGCCTCCTTACACAGCCTGAGCAGAGACTCTGCATCTGTTCGGCTGATCGCTCCATGGTACCAGCTACAGGGAGCAGTAGGAAGTAGGGATGAGAGAGAAGAGAGTAGAAAGCAATGGCAGAAAATGGAACAAAAGAAATGAAACAACAAGGGTCAAATCTGCTCACGAAAAAGGGCCAAAGTGGTGTATTTGCAATAAAATGCAGTCACAACAAAGTGACATCGTGATCTGACTCACAACTGGCCTTCCAGGGGCATGGTGGGGTCAACACGCTCCCCGAGAGAGGAGCTGCAGTGGTCCAGTGAAGACATTTTGGTGTTGACCAGACAGCCACTGGAGTGTCGCTGCAGCGGGCGTGTTTTCCCCTCCATGGTAGGCGACATTCGAGACTTCTCCACACCATCAAACTGGACTGTAATCAGGAAAAATGCAACAGTTGAAACATTTTAATCTGGAAGAATATGCATGTACTGTATATATATGTATACCTCAGCTAGCTTTTAGGTTAAGGTCACTTGGAAAGCTGGTGTGCTTAAAAACATTGGAAAAAGTTATGATGTAAATTGCTGTTAAATATATCTACTAAACTAGAACATAGCAATGGAGTGTGCGCGTGTGAACAGAAATCCAGGTTGTTCATTTACACACACACACACACACACACACACACTCTGTCACTCTGTGTCACTCATCCAACTGAAGAACATGTACACACAGTGGTGGAGGCATAAATCAATCCTGCCACACTGTGCACACATCCCATTGAGACAAAACACACACACAGGCAAACTTCCTCCCAACCACTCAAACAACCACATGCATCTGTAAATACACCCGCATATACTACAGTATGTGTGTCCACGTACACTCTCTAACTACACACAAACAAATGTGCACAGCCATGCAAACAAGGCCACTTGGAAAAGTCATGCAAAAACAATCCCACGCACAGGTACTGCAGGTTAAACATTAAACTGGCTTTTCTAAACTCTCACGGTCAACGGTGGGCATGATAAGCTGTCTTGGCAACTTCACAGGGAAGTGTTTGATGGCATGTGGGGGCTGGAGGTGACCTGTGCTCACAACATGACTGCTGGAGGTCACTGAGCAACTCCACAGCCAATCAGGACACGAAAGAAATTTTACTGCTATTTACTAAAGCTAACATGAGAACAAAAGAGAGGATAATGTCCACAAGGCCGAATGAAAGTGAATTCTCACGTCTGTTGGGGGGGGGGGGGGGTTATGGAGGTTGGAGCAGCAGTGTGGTCGTCAGTGTGCCTCTACCTACATGTGTTTTTTTTAGCTATTTTCCCTCCGTCATCCATCACTATGATTGATACCGTAGCCCCCTTGGCTTTGGAAAGGCCCATTTAGAGCCACTGACACGCTTCTCGAGCAACAACATCAACAACTATATGACGAGCTTTAGCTGGAGATTGTTGGCAGCTAAAATGTTTAAGATCAACACATAGCTGAGCCTTTGATGGAAGGAGTTAATGTAGTATGAAACTCATAGCCATTGCCTCGCTAATGACCAGTCTTGCGTTTGGTCTCGTGTTTAACTACCTGGACTGAACATGGCAGGTACTGTACAGACAGCCAGGCACTGTGTTCTCCACAACATGTCGATGGAGATGGGTCCGTCTAGACTCCGTATTCCAGTCAGAGGATTCCATTACACTTAACAGTTGTAAGTTTGCCAAGTGTTCCTGTACCAGACTGAGCGGGAGGGCTGAAAGTATCCATCAATCAATTTAGGCTACACGAGACAACAAGTTCCATTGAGCTCGTGGGCTGAACAGGAGACCATAGGACCGTCTGTAGAGACTGTAAATGTAACAATACATTATTATTCTTTTGATTTTTATTGTTGACATGCTGTCTACAGAGCCAACCATTTACAGTGTGTTGGAGTAACAGTAACTCTCTATCGGCACCATTCATTGAGAGAGATGAATAGAATTAAAAGAGTTGTTTTTGACTGGACCAATAAAATCACCAACTTTCTATTGAGACAGTGAACCTGTTCTCACGCTGCATCCAGAGATGTCGTGATCATGGGTGTTACTCAAGTCTCGAAGTACTTCACACCTGAACTTCATTACATTTCCGTTACAGAAATACTGTACTTTCTACTCCACAACATAACAGCTATGGCTACCAGTTACTTTTCAGATTTCACACAAAAACATATTAGTCATCTCACCACCCCTCAGATTTATCTTGTAACACAAGTACTTTTACTTTTGATACTTTCAGTACATCTTGCTGATAATATTGTCCTTTTACTGCAATAAAAGGAATAAGCAATAAACTGAGCATTTTTAAATTGTTGTAGTAGTACTTCTTCTTAAGTAAAGGATCTGCGTACTTCTTCGACCACTGCCTGTGATGGAATATGAGCCAACAGCAGCTAAGAATATTGAGACAGAGTGCTGCAGTTTCAGCTCTGACCACCAGGTGCTCCCCTTCATCTCCTACTCAACTCCAGGTTCATCTCGCTGGCCTTCAGCTCTCTGAAGCAGTCCCCTAAACATAAACTCATGGAAAGGATTATTGCAAATGACTCCGCCTACCGTTGTTATCTTGGCCTCTGCACTTTTGTTCATTATAGGGCTTTGGGCCGAGTCTTAAAACGACAGCCAAATTGTACTGTTGGATGACGTGCTGGGCAAATTGTGGCTCTAACCTCAGACCCGTGGACGACTGTGAGCTGTAGCGTCTCTTCCTCGGGGTCTGATGCTTGAACTACAGGCCGTCAAATGATGTTTCTGTGTTGCCCATAAGTCCCACATGGAAGACATCATTAGTTCTCTACTTTTCCCATACAGTCCATTTGAACCACATGCTGACTGCCGGGGGAATACGGTGCAGGTAGGATGAACATACAGTATCTACGTGTAAGGGTGAGAGATAGCGTTTCCATGGAAACTGACCAAGGGGACAAGGGAGATGCATGTTTGCTCCGCTCATCCCCGTCAACGCTGACAGACCACAACATGAAGACGCAGTCAATTGCTCTCCCACTCCCTTCTTCGCTTTCAATTTCTCTCTTCCTGTTTGCATATGTCCGGCCCTTCCTCTCTTTCTCCCTCCCCCCCTCCCCTCACCTTTTCTTTTGATCCTTTCATCCCACACACTCCAGTCCTGTCTCTCTCGGTCTCTGTGTTTTTGTTTGTCAGGGAAAGAAAAAGATAATGGGAAATTGGCTGTGGAGGAATGTCTGCTCGTCTCATAGAGAAAAAGCAGTAGCAGCTTTGATCCGTTACCTCCACTGTTTCTGATGACCCTAAAGCAGCACTATCAGTCTCTAGATATGTCTGATCCTGCAACTACATTGTTAAACACAACCTATGTAGATTATACGTCCACATACAAATTGGGTAAAATATGCACTTGGACATAATGTGTTTTTTTCTAGGGATCTTATCATTTGAAGCTGGAAACAGTGGAGTGAAATAAGGATGAATGTTGCTATCTTGGTTTCCCTGCACAGTCCATCTTTCAGTGGATCTACAGCCCTCTCAGCCATCCGCCTGACCTCAGCTCGTCACATTTTAAATCCTCCCAGCACCCTCACTAATTCCTATCCTACACTTTACCAGATTTAACACAATCACTGCCTTATGTGACCTTGATTCAACATTTGTTTTCCTCCACTTCCTATAGAGGGCTGAGTGGCTATTGTCAGAGGAGCTCACCCCATCAACCTTCCCTGTCAGAGCCGAGTCTTTTATTTATTTATTTAGTCTAGTATTACCCTGAAGGGAGAGCCTCCAAACGAAAACAAAAGCTTTCATTTGATTTGCTCGACAGTGAATGAATCCGTGTTTTCTTTGATTTGCCAGGCGTCTCACAAACACTACGCTTCAAGTTGTAGAATTCTGTTTTAAGGCTGAATATCAATGGGAGTTAGCTAAACTCATTCTCCGGAGCACACGGTCTGAGACATGGCGGACAGGAGATTGACGAGAGGATTGGCCCAGGAGGGGAACAAAACCCTGACGAGAAGGTGAAAACACACGTGCACACCTTCACATGCACGCAAAAAGACATGTACGTAAATATGCAGGGGCATCTGTGTGTGTTATCAGTATTGTTGCTTGTAAAGCACTGCAAATGGAATCTGTGTATCAGATTGAACTGTCAGTCAGATGGTGACTGATGGCTTAAAGACCTGCCCCCTTCAAACACATGGCTTCCTTTAGAGAGCTCTATAAAACACAGAGGGGTTGAGGAGGGAGAGGACACACAGATAAACACAGAGGTCAAAAAGACATTTCCGTGATTACACTCCCGACCAATCCATAACACAAAGCGCTGCAATGTAATTCAGCACAGCACAGCACAATACAAGACGAAATAATGCCTTAAGAACGTAGAGATATTTATAGTGACTATCAAACATCACAAAAAAGCCTCTTAAATAAGGAAACACTATAAAATGGAATGGTAAACTTTTCAAGGGTGTTCAAAACATAAAGTAAGAAAAACACCAAAAAACGTAGTTAGAATAATGTACATGAGGCCTATGAATGACCCGAATATGCCAGTTCCCTTGCACACATTCCTGAGCAAATCTCTCTAATTAGGCTGTTTAATTAATCATCATTTCCTAATGGTGGTAGTCTCAAAAAGGATGACTAGTCTGAGGGGTAAAGTGTGCCATCGACCGCCGTATTGTGATGTGAAAATGAACTTTTCCAGCCAGGACGTGTGAAATGATTAACAGGTCTGCATCTCATCACAATGCACCGCACACTGAAAATAGTGCTCGGCGTGGTGATACCCCAGAAACTGGCAGCTTTTGAAATAACTTACTTTTATGTTGATATTAATTATGTGCATCAGGAACTCCAATAATGATTTGTTGGACGCTTTTTAATAATATATTTTTTAGAGCTGCTTGTTGCTGAATCCAGAAGTTAATCTCTAATGATTCCACCATCTAGGAATATGCTTTCTTCTTTTACATAGATCCAAAAATGAAACTCTCATTAGGCTTTTCCAAGACAGAGGAATGAACCTCCAAAGTGTCAGCTAGTGGATCTATTTGAAATTAAATTTGGGTATACTTTAATTATTCTGTTTTTTTTTTTAAGTCTTCTTAGAGTAGAGGCAGGAGAAGGTGATACCAATGCTTCAAAGTGTGGGATAATTAATTCATGTAACAAAAAAACGGTCAATTTCTTCATTATACTCAGAGGAAAGTGCCTTCCATTTATATGTAGATGTAATATCTGTCCTGTCAAGCCGCATTACAATTTTGACAATGAGGTTGGACGGGTAAGTCAGACTCCCCTGAACTGTAATGGATATTGTTTATTCTTGGTCTACATTAGAGCAAGCCACAGAAGCCTTTACAGACACATACAGACTCTCAGCTCTTTATCCTGGCTGAACCAATCTAGAGCACGTAAACACTCCTGTGTGTAACGGATGACTAATGTCTTGGTGTGTGACTGAGGGTCCGCCTGTACGCCGAGGTCAAGAGAGTGCATTGTAACTGTATTCACAGGGGCCATCACCCCCCTCTGTCTGCCACAATGGCCTCTGACCCCAACGATGTAGAGTGGGGTCATACTGGCTCAGACAGAGAGAGGATCACTTTACAGCTGGACGCCAATCTTAAACCCACTGACATCACAGAGGGAACCAGAACCTTTCCCATGGATTTATGGATATAAATCAACTCCTTGCCCTGTCCTCGCCTATAGCACACAGCGGTGTCCTCTTACATGGTCTCACACTCTAAGTCTTCCCACTTTGCCAGGGGAAATCCCATTCTTGGCATTAGTTCTGCTACACGTCCCTCTTTTCCCCTGGTAATTACAACAGTCAAGATTGCGAGTCTGTGGAAGGGCTTCACGAATAAACTAATGGCTTTATCGGTTGAAAACAGATGATTACTTGTCCATTGTGATTGATAAGATGGTAAATAAGGCTAAACCCTGAGGTGAAGAGACTCTGATCAAGAGGTGAAATTGACTCAAATGAGTTGTAGAGAACAGCAGGCCAGAGGGACATCTGGGAATGTTATGAGTATGTTGACAAGAGGAAATGGGGGTCACAGCGAATGGCAATTACGCATGCAGAAGGCAGTTTAGCACAATCAAAACTAATGAGCCTTCAGCCCTAAAACCTGCAAAAGAATTAGTGATTTTCTGCCACATGTAATCCAGATGGAGAAGTGCAGTAATTACTGAGCTGCTACCTAAAGTCATATCACACAGATGTCAGTAAGTCATCACTGACCAGTTAAGTGTAAGCGGACATGTTCACATTATCCTAGCCTGTCTGAACTGCTGGTATGTTTTGTAAGGATGATCCTTAAAACCTGTTCTGTTTCCAGTTCATATATGAAACCATTTTAAGCAGGAGCATTATTGGTGATATTCTTTGCAAGCGATATGTATGTCTTTGGTAGCCAGCTATGTGCTTGGTTAGTTATTTTTCTAAATTCCCTCCTTAAATTTCAGCGCATCCACAAAAACGGGTGTGTAAAAGTGCAGATATGCAACAAATCAGACTTAAATGCTACTGGTTTAGTGAACACATGCACACTCTTCACCACTCAATCTTCCTTAATAAAATCAGATAAACAGACAGAGAAACAAATACTTATATAACCACATTGAAGGGATTAGACGGATGGATGATGGATCAATGGATCAATGGACTGACGGGTGGAAATGGGGGGTAATTGATGGGAAAGACGCCGGACAACACCCACCATGGTGGTGCTGGTCACAGCTCGTCTGTCCTGGCGAGGGCTGAGCTGTCTGGGAGGGAGACTCCAGCTCCTCCACCAGGGGAGGGCTGGTGTTGAGCTGCCCCACGGGAGGGGGCCACGGTAGGTCCTTGATCACTTTAATCTCTACTGCAAGTGTCGACCAAGTCACCGGAGGAGAGATGGGAGGGAAGGAGAGGACAGCGAAGAGAGGCATCAATGGACAACGACAAAGGGAGTGAGGAAAGGTAAGTAATGACAGGAAACGGGGAGGAAAAAGGGAAGAAGCGGTAAGTGAAAGATAGATTAAGGCAGAAGATGCCAGCATTGTGAAAGAGATACGTTTTATACTGTGATCCAAGAATCAGCAGTAGCTGAAAGGAATACAACAACAGGACTGAAAAAGAAGTGGAGTTAGTTTACCAGTAGATAGGGTTGGGTTCTGATAGCGGGTGCCATATTGGATTTGATTCCAGGTTATCTAAAATTCCTGGATTTCTAAAGAACTACGGACTAATGGTCAAAGGTTACTTACTTACAAATGTTCAATAAGGGATTTGGAAGGACAAATTCAGATTCTATAAAGCGCTATTAAACCCCAACCCTACCTGAAAAGTTGGGCTCTCTGGCCTCTCTTCCCCTCTCCTTTGACTCTCATCCAACAATCCAGAGTGGAACCCACAATGACTAACCTAAATCTCACCAGAGATACAGTAGAAACATGGCAATGCAAAGTTCTCAATCCCTACTTTTACAAGAATGGATGCCTGACGTGCTGCATGACAGACTTTAGTTCAGAGGCTGGCCCAAATAATACACTGCTGCACCACAAATGTGAAGGCTATAATGCATAAAACTGCCTTGAGCTCAGCAACAGATAGTCATTGATACAGTACATCAGCATACACTCCGCTGTTAGTCTTTGTGCTGAGTTTGAGAAAAAGATATAAGGTTCTATATTAAGATAAACAACACTGCACACAATATCCTTCACTGGAATGCACCGCAGAGCATCCATCCTGGCAGTGGACGCTCCCCGGGCTTCGCCCCTTAAATAATGTATTCCTTATGTCCTGCCTGGGTAGTACCAGGGTAAATGGAGCACCCTTGCAAAAGCATATCTGTCACTGAGCAAGGGCCACTTGTCAAATAGCTTAAGATATGTTTTTTTTTCACGTCACCCAAGAAAACGATAGTGTTAGAAACCAAGGCAAGTGTAGCTTCCTGTAGTGTAGCATTCCTCCAGAAGTTAAAAATGTTATGTATAATTCCATAACTCTTTTTTTACATGAATGATCAAACACAGATCCTCAAGTGGGGCAACTCACGGTGCTACTAAGAACATTTTAATATCCCTCTCCATGGTGCTGGAGATGTTACCGCAGTAGATGGACGTACAAGTACAAGGGACTAAAATGAGTGAGATTTCATTAATTCAGTTCCTACTGATGTCAGACAATGTTGAGAAGCATCAGAAACAGTGAAACCAGCTTGCTAAAGGTGCTGAAAGAATAAACACTGCAGGTGTGGCCCGAAAAGAGACACCTGAGAAGCACAAACCAACAGGAACCAAAGTACATACGATTTAAGAAAAAGGGAAAATATAACAAAACTAACGAACTAACTACAAAAATACAATTTTTGTAGTTTTAGTCAACATTGGTTATAGGAACCTTTACTGCTCATAGAATTACCCACAGTACAACATGTTAATAACTTCTAATTAAAGACTAGATTCCTATTAAGACAGTAGTAATAACAGCAATCATTTTGTCAGAGTTAGAGGCACATTTTGATTCAGAGTAACACTCCTCTAAAGAGAGTTGACTAAGTGCTACTTTATCTCAGAGGAAAACAATGCAGCTGCATACATAACCATTAGTATGGCACTGTGCTGTATTGGCTGGCATACAGGCTGGTTTTCAGTGGGAGGAAGAGCATAATGTTATGAACTTGTCTGTCTTCCATCCTGCAAGGAATTGCAGCGGCGGTGGTACAGGACATGCTAATGAGAAAGAATATCTGCGGGCTGGATCTATGGGAGAAACTGGAAAACATTCAATCCGACAAGCACTTAAATAGCTGCCCCCCCCCCTGGTGCCAGAGGGGTAATCGAGAGAGGGGTGGCTGGAAGGAGGAGCTGCTTGCGGTCTACCCTGATGGGAGTGATGTCGGGTGGTGGACCAGTGGGACTGGAGGGTGGGGAATGGAGACAGGAAGGTCAGAAACTCTGGGAGATAATGTAACTTCCACTACTTTGGGGTGATGTAGGGGACTCTCTTCCTATGAGATTAAAAGCCTAATACTCATTTCACATTGCAGATTAGCGTGTAATTGTTTGGGGAGCAGAAGGCTGCCTCCACTCTGCAGCCTCACTGTGAGACCACTTTGGTGAGTGTGGCTCAGATGCGCTTGGTTGCACAGCTGAATGATAGCATTTTGGCAGTGTGAAAATTAAGACAGGCTGCTTCAATAGCTAAGTGTTTTTAGTTTTTTTTAAACTCGGAGTGACTGGAATCTCCACCTTGTAACGTATTTAAAAATCCTGCTGGCCCCAAGGCTTTGAATCATCATTGACTCTAGGTGCCACCCATTGCCGCATGGATGAGTGCATATTTACACCTTATAGCATTCTTCAGTGACAAATTCAAATTCTGGACTGAGGTGGCAACAGCAGCACACTAGAGCTGATTCACACATCAACCCTGAAGGCTCTCCACACAAACCTGCTTACAGCTGATGCAGATTTCGTCTTGTATCAGCTCTGTGGATGGTCCAGGTTAAGTGTTTTACAGACCGCCGGTGAATATCAGGGAGGAAAATAAAATAACAATATGATGTCTAAGTCATGTGAATCTTTTTTTTTTGTTAATTAGTCATTATTTAAAGTGGTAGGCCTGCCCACTGTAAATCACTTTACGCAAAGACTTTGTAGCATAACACAGAAAGTCGCTGTCTGAATTTACGATTATTGAATACAATTAGGCTCGGGCTTTTGTAATTATTTGTAGCAGTGTCTGTGTTTTCTTTTTCTGTCATCAAAAGACAGAAAGCCCTACACATGTGGACTATTTCTGAGGGAATATGTAAACACAGCCAAAGAGAACTACATCTTTGTCATCTCATCTGACTGCATTTGGATCAATACGCCACCTCTGATCTGCATAATCCATATTAGTACACAAGGCCTAGTGTTGACATAGGAATAGAGGCTATTAACAATTCTAAATCCGACAGAGGGCATACAAGTTAGGCACACAAAAGTGGCCATGTTAAGACTTTAAATAGGAACATTTCAAAACAGCGTTGTGTGTGTACGTTGCATTGCCCTGCTTGCTTTGGAAACACGTGATGTTGGCAGGATGTCACTCAGACTAGACACCGCCTGGTTGAGCACCGGTCTGGAGGTGGGCATTCTGTAAGCTCGTGTGGTGTAAACGCTGCGGCTGGTTAATTGTTGCCTGCATGTTGATTACAGTTCATCAAAAGAACCAGAGAATAATGGACAAGGGTCCCTATTTATCGTGTTTACCTCCCCTTTGTTCTCCCAGGAGCAGATCTATCTTTAAAGCCAGGTATTTGTTTACCCAGGCTTTTCATTAGCCCATAGCACTTCATCACTATAAACATTGCAGCACCATAAATCAGCAGCAATGCTTGTTTCCACCAACGGCATTTAATTTAGTTCTGCTTAATTTGGTCGGCTAATTGCATGAATATTCAAAACAAGCTGGAAGATTGCAGTGTTTATGCCGCACATTGTAAACAGAAGAGCTTGGAAACAAAACCAGCCTCTTCTGAAGACGTGTTTGTTCCGTCAGCACCCAAATCATTATAGATAACAAATGTGTAATGCTCCGTGGGAACTGAAATGCCAGCTCGTGATTCTCCGCATACTGTATCCGCCACATTATACGGTCCGGCTCTCTTTCAAAGCGCAGATCTGCTTTGCCATTAAAAATGAAAGCGGTAAGGCCTTTTCCCTGTTCTTCTATCAGGAGAGAGAAGGAAGAGATGCGTTAGAGATGCCCGGCCAGCAGGAGCTTCTACGGGGGCTTCCCGTAGAAGCTCCTATACTTTGTGAGGGAGGTTTACAGTGCTGTTGTGTGTGGCCAATGTGTGTGAGTGAAGATAAGACCTGTGGCAGCGCTCAGGGAAAAGAGGGCAGGACACATTTGAGGCCCATGAAAGAGCGCTGTCAGGAAGGTTATCAGCAGGGTGTTGTTGCCGAGGCCGGGAGGACGAGACAGAGCTGAGGAATGACAGACAGCGTGGGGGGGGGGAAACCAGACCAGCCAAGCAGACAGAAACGGAGCCATGGCACCCACAAAACAGCTGGCTTTAACTCAGGTGCAAATAACCCGCGCAGGACTGTAACTGAATCAATTATTTATTTTAGGACATTAGACTTGAGCCTCAGGTTTCTGGGTCGTTAAGCCCGAAGATTCATTAAAAAACCATAAAGCTCCCCAAGACCTGAGGGAGCAAGCGACAGCGCCTTCTCTTATCTTCCGTGTTAAATGCATGGTACCCCGCTGGCCAGGGGCCAAGTGAAAGGAGTTAGTAGCAGGTAACAGAGGGCAAGGAGATTAAGTGACAATGGCTCTCAATCCCAGTCCTGCTGTGACGAGGCTCAGATTTCCAATGGCGGCATGTCCGCGTCTGGGTGTGTGAGTGAGTCAAAACATACGGGCTTACACTGGCGGACATGCGAGCACACTTTTCTCTCGGCCTCACACGCAGGCTTCTTCATGCGGTGAAATTCTAATGTGTATTTCTCACTCTTCACCTCTCGTCTCATCCATCACCAAGTCAGCAGCCATGAGGGAGGGAGGAAAGAGGCTGTGGTGAGTGTGGGTTCAGTCTAGAGTGTGTGTATGCCTTTGTGTGTGTGTGTGTGTATGTATGCATGTAGGGGGGACAGCGAGGATGAGTGATTAACCAAACCACAAGTACACACCCCCCCTAACACTCTAACAAGGCAGGGAATTTACATTCCATTGCATACCTGTCAGGAGATAGCCCAACAGTGAATAATAACACCAAACCAAGTGTTGTGACGAGGCGAGCGAGCACGCAGGCAGCGGTACGGACAGCGGAGGAAAAAGGGCTGTGGCATGGAGCATTAGTCTGCTCTCCTTCCCCCATCATTAATGAAGACAAATAGTCTTTTATGCAGATAGCGAACCATGTTACACCGTGGTGGGAGGGCGTGGGCATTGTTTGGTACTTATTTAATCCACCCTCCTATTTCTTTTTTACACCCACTCCACGGTTTAGTAAGGCTGTGTATCTTTTTCCATGATCTGTTAATTCTTTGTTCGCAGACACTTTCATTTCCCGCGCAGCTGCAGGGAAATAAAAATCCAAACAGCGAACATGTATCATTAGTCATTGATATTCCACGGCCACGAAGTGTTCCAGCAACTATAGCAACATCACTGAGGAAAATTGCTCTCTTGAAACTTAACGGCACACGGAGTTATAGTTAGGCTGACCTGAAACTGCCCTCAAAACATTTTACATACTACCGTAATTGCTGACGTCTGGGGACACGGCAACATCACCTGCATGGAGCTTGTTAACAATTCTCCATTTCACCCGTGTTATCTACAACACTTAACAAGCATTGGACTGAAATAAAAGCTCCACAAATTGTTGTAAAACAACACAATATTGTGCTATCATCCTCTGTATAAAACATCTGCAGTAGATCACGAAGTAGCTTCACAAATAGGTGGTTTATGTAATGCGTTTACATTTTCCTTGATAATTTATATGAAATGACATATCATCAATAAATGTACATATGCATACATTGTTTTCAACCCTTGGTGGGTAGCGTCAAAACTGCACTAAAAACACTAACAACTACACAAAGGTTCAGATAATGCTGATAGCACCAAACCCACATGGCCCTGGTTTGAGAAACCAGACATATTGTGAAACAGCTGTTAAGATTGGCAGTTTCCACCCAACGGTTCATAAAGCTGTTTAAGAACTCCAGGACAACAGCAGGGTAACCTGGAGAAATCTGACAGCAGGCTCTAAGCTGTCTGCAGACAACTTCAATATTGAAGCAATGTATCATTTCTTGATATTGGAGGGGAAGCTGATTGCAAAGATCAGAGCCTCGGGTGCAGGCACACATGCTCAAGCCTTGAAAGGTGGGAAACCTTCTCTAAGCCCCTTCATATCTGGATCCGAGGCCGGTCTACACCGAAAGCCTCGTCCCAAAGACATATTTCACATCATTCCTCTTTGTTCCATGTCTTCCAAATAGTGGAGAATTACTTCTGCCTGAATAAAACATAACGCAGAATGAAGACAATAAATCAAAGGAGTTTTTGGACTGCAGCTTTTGTCTTCGAAAGACAACTTAAAGACTTATCTCTCAACACTTTGACATCCAATGGAAATTAAATTAATCATCATCAAAAGAGGGACGCTGTCTGTATAAGGGGGAGTTGAAAGACGGATGTGTTAGTGAATAACGCCCGTCACAAACCTCTGAGTGCTGCTTGACAGAAAGATAATGAGGGAGAGGAAGAAAGTGATTAAGAATGCAGCATCCCTTATTTAACTAATCACTGGCAGAGGCAGAGCAGCGTGACTCCTATCAAGACCTCAGTGCCTAGAATACACAGAAGTAAACAGGAAACAGAAACGAAGTGACAAAAAAAATAAGGAAAAAGAACGATGATAAAAGAATAGACAGACATATGATATTTATGCACATGCATACATACAGCCTGCTCTGCCTGTCAGAACTGCGTCGATCTAAACATTTATCATATTACTGAGTCATCGAGTCATTAAACTATCTTTCGAGCTGCTGTGAGGAACTTTTAACTGCTTGTGAAACAGTCTCAGTTTAATTCTGATGCCTCTATATGACCAACATAAGTAAACAAGACAATCAGCGAGGAGATTGTGTATTTCTGTATAGTTATTTTGAATGCTTGTCATCGATGCCCTCGGGTCGGATTCCATGTGAAATCAGATGAAACCATCCGTCAGGCCGTCAGACCCTGCTGCAGTAAAATGAGAGGTTGTCTAAAGGGACTCGGGGTTCTCAGAGCGCTACTGCTTTCGTGAACAGGGATCGGCAAAATCAACACAAAATAAAGGTTCCCTGTTCCCTTCTTTAATGAGGTACAGCAGGTTGGTAACGCTCATCACCTGCAGGTATGCACTAAATACTCCCTCAAGTCTTTTTCTTCTTCCACAAATGAGATTGATGAGCTTCCATGTAATGCCACATGAGAGAGTTCACACACACTCAAACATATTACATACAGCGAAGTCCAGCTCAACACCTGATCTGTTTCTCCACACTCCTCCATGCTGCTGCTGTCACTATGGCTCACCTGGACCGGAAGCAACTAAGTAATCAATGTAACGTTAACATCTACAAACATAGGCCAGCTGGAAATTCGTCAAAAAGTATCACAATTTGAATTACGCTATCATAAGAGACAAAAAAACAATATTGAAATGAATGTAATTTTGATGTAATGACTCAAACAAAAAGACTCAAGAGTTGAGAATCAGGAATACAAATACGTTCACTGTGGGTGCTCTAGTGTCCTTGGATTGGTTTGATTTTGGATTTTAGACATTGAAGCGCAAATATTTCCCACCATTCTGTCACAGAAAAAGAGCAGTTGTAGAAATCATTAATATCCCCAAACTGTCTTGACACGACTGTCCCTTACAGGTGTATATACAGTATATTGACCGCAACTATGTGACTTGTGCTTTAAAGGGTGATTTCATTTTAACATGCGGAATCTTATGATCTGCCTCCAGATGTCTCACAAAGTTCATCTTTCAACAGAAAAACACCATCAAGGATTAATCTCTCTCGCATCATATACTTCTAATCAATTTTGCTTTATTGAAATGCTATAAATGCAATGCAGTGTTCCCAAAGCAAATATGAGAGGAATACAACAGAGGAATGCATGGAAATGAAAATAAAAGTATGGAAGATAAACTAGAATATGATCAATATGAAGAAAATGTCCATCATTTTTATATTGCTCTGTGAGATTACATTTACACTTCCAAGTGTAAAAAACTAATCACAAAAGTAGCAACTTATTTTCCCAACTGTATTCCACAAGAAGACTTCGGGCCATGCATATTTATAATGGCTTCTTTCATTCAGCTGTAATTAAAAAAGAAAGGGTTCATCCACTGGTGAATTAGCCATCCTGAGGAGTTGACTTAGGCAAGATTAATGTTTTTGTGCAGAA